AACAATCGGCCTAGATTGTTCGGCGACTGGAACATTCAGAACTCGATCTGACGAGAATGTTCTCGAACTCACGAGAACGCAATGAAAGAACAAATAAAAGAGCATTCCACTGACTGGAATCGAACTCAGACTTTCTGCACGACAGTCAAGCACGGTAACCGCTCGGCCACGCGCGCGGTCACTCGCTGACGAGCGTGGCAATATCACTTGGACTCTTTGCCGGCCTGCGATCTTTTTTAGCCGGTGAGTTATGCCATGAAGATATGGCGCTACCAATATGAGATTTCCAGTCTTTTTCTCTGTCGCTCCCTCGATGCCTTCCTGTAAGCGCACGAAATTCTGGGAGATCTTTTCACATATCGATACCAGTACTGTTTCCGGATACCTAGCATCAAGTAGCCTAGATATTTGAGTGTCAAAGCTACTCTGGATCTGGTGTTCAGATGACTTCTTTAAAGCAGATGTTGGTGCTGTGGTGGTGACCCCACGTTTCACCTTCTTTGAGTGTCCAGGTTCGAATGGAAGAAACCCTTTGCGGGACCGAGCTTGGTATCTCCAGCAGACGTGGCCATCGTTAAAGTCTAAGGCAAGATGAAGGAATCTGATAGATTTGTTTACGGGTAGTTCAAGAGTGAACCCAAGCTTCAGCAGCTCTGTTCGAAGCATTTTATGACATACTCGAGGCAACCATTGTCTTGTCCTTCTACCTTCGTGTTAGAAAGTATTAAGAAATCATCATTGCACCGGCAGATGACTTCAATCCGGGGATATTTATTGCTTTGTTGGATAGTAAGTGTGCATGTTGCGAGGAACACATCGCTGAGGTAAGGAGCCACTTGAGACCCGATTCATGCACCCTTTTTTCTGCACAAACTGCTGATCTTCATGAGATGCCACCGTCGCCGTCAGGTAAACACGTAGCAATTCCAAAAAGCTGTCAAGGGACAATCCAGCCGTACTTTGGAATGATGTGAGACCTTGCTATTGAATTGTTTCTCGAAGTATGTTTAGGAGGCATGCATGGGGGGTGGAATAGTACATTTCTTTAACGTCAGGGAATAATCCAGAGGCAATGTTAGGCCCCTTTTCCTGAAGAAAGGAGGTCACACTTCCTGAGTTTGGAATCTTGATGGGGTCTTTTACCCTCATTTGGGACAGTTGTTTGGCCAGAAAAGTTGACACTTGTGTTTGCCAAGTATTTCTTTCTGATAGAATTTTCCGGAACGGAGTTCCCTCTTTATGTGTCTTGGCTGAGAAAAAGACCAAGAATTGGTCACTTCGAGGACTTTGACTTTTGTGACGAGACTGCCTAGCTGGTTGTTTTCTAGTATCTTCAAAATGGCTCTTTTTTGTTGATGTAGTTCTTTTATCCGCTGAAATGAAATTCTCAGCGATGACATGATCGGCTTTTTCTCCGTACATTCCTGTATCAAGGAGGACGAACTCTCACTCCTTGTGGGATACGCATCGTTTTAGAACTTTGCTCCGCAATTCTTTCACTGTAAAGCCAAAACTCATTTTCTGATGTAGGGGATTCCTTAGGCTTGCAAAGGAAAGAAATTCCTTCATTTATGATCTACAATGTTTTTTCTCCTGTAGCTTTGGCCGCGATGTTTCTTACTAGTGCAACCTTGTCAACGGCCTTAAGCTTTGGTGGTACTGCAAGCTTCGGACCCTGCTCCAGTACCCTCTTGACTTTTTCTGTAAGATTGACGACACCAATGACCCCAAGCGAAGACCTTTTGGTACTTGCTGTGACTCTTCTTGTTAGGTGGTGTTTCCATGCTGGGAGGAAATGTTGCGTCCACATGCATTCGATTGCGATTCTTGTCATTTTCAGTTGATCTAGAAAGAAGTTGTGGCTGAGACATTTTACTCGCAGGAAATTAGTGAGTAAGCGGACTTGGCGCCAGGTTTCGGATTGAAACATTTTTTAAACCCGCTGGGAATGTCCTTCAGACGGCTCACATAAGCCCCCCAAAAAATCCGCACGTCATCCAGGATAATCTTATTTTGATACTACGTGAAAGCATCCTTCCTCGGCAGTCTTGCGTTGCGATTAAGAGAGAGAGGTCATGCGGTTCAAGGAGGTTAAAAGGAACGAAGGGAGTGCTCAGAGTACTAGAAGGGTACAGCTGAACGTGAAAAACACACAAAAAATATATTATAACATTCGCACCGCTGAACTAGCAACTTTTAATAATGCCTCTTCTTCATTTTCTGCTAGTGCATGATTCCGGTCTCAGGCATAGATAGAAGAAAAGAAGTGGAAGATTGCTTATAGAAGACAGAAGAGAAGAAATGAGACCATTCCGACAGCAGAAATGACAATGCGTGAAAGGAAAAGAAATCCCGAAATAAATACAAATTAAAAGGAAACCTACATTAAGTGTAAAGAATAAAAAAAATCTAATTGAACGTAAAAAAGAAAAAAAAAAGAAAACCAGAACCAAGGATTAGCAGAAAAATAAAAAGAGGCAATATTAAAAGTTGCTAGTCCAGCGGTGCGAATGTTAAATTTTTTTCTCCGTCTGTTTTTCATGTTCAGCTGGCCTTATTCACACGCAATGAACCAACGTGCTCAGCTTAAGCCCGTAACAAGGTCATTTTTTTTACATACTCTTTCTGGTCCTCTTTCTTGTACAGTGCGGGCCGTCCTTTTTCAGAATGCTGCAAAACTTCCCCGTCAAGAATACCTCGTCCCGAGGAGTGCTTAAATACTGACTTATGGTGGTACGGCTTGCACCGTTCAAAATTAACTATCTGAGGTTTACGGTGGTGGGCATGACGAATCCGGTTGCTGACGTCATTCAGCTTCTTTATGATTTCCTAGGTGCCATCTATAGTAGTTCTGGATTATAACCTTGCGACCTTTGGTCTAACGTGCACTATGCAGCCACACGAAATCTCCTGGTTTCAATTGGTGACCGGAGGCATTCCTTGCGTTATTGCTGATGAGATTCAAACTCCTTCGTGCACAGTCATGATACCATTCTAATTTTTGCGCAATCGAAGTGAACATTTTCAATATCTGTCCTTCAGCAACAGTACCACTGGAGTACCGAATATACAGGCCGTGGGCAGCCGTAGACCCCTGTCCGTTAGCAACACTGATAGTGTGTACTTCTTTTATTTGAGTCGACAGCCGAAAAGTTGAAATTATAAAGAGAGGCACAACGTTAGTCTCGGGTGTCGTGATGCTCGGTGACAAGTCGAGGTATTGCTTGAGAAATAGGTTGAATTAATCTCATTCTGTTCGGCTTTGAATGTAGCAGTGTTGTACTTGTCTTTCTTTCGGGTGGCGATGCGCACAGATCCTAAAAAGTTTGCGACTTCAAGGTGCGTCTCTTTTTATGTTTTTCTAGGGGCACTCCGTTCCTCAATACAATGTTGCCAAGTAAACTTCGAGTGACGGTCTCTGCATCGTATGTCCGAACTAGGAGAGCTTCTGGTTTATTTGGGAAGTAGTGCGCAAACGTTTTCAGACACCTATTAACCCCTGTTGTTTCTGGTTGCAACTCTATTACGTCAACAGCGACTCGCTCAAATGGGACACGAATGTTGTAGTTTATTACCTTTTGCAGATAAATAGAGGGAGGTTCTTGGCGCATTCAGCAGTTAACTTTTGAGCAACTCGCGCATGTCACGGATGGCTCCAAACTAGTAGAATCCGTCTCGCACTTGTTCTAGAGTTTTGTGAACCCCAAACTGTCAGCTGGTAGGACTCTCGTGGTGCCTCCGAATTGAAACCGAAGTACAATTTTGATCAGCAATTGTGGCATGACGACTTGAAGAAACACATGCGCTCCATCGTTGCTTCTCCAAAAATAAAACAGGGAGCCTTTTTTAGGAGGAGAGAACCCCAATGAGTCCAATAGGCTTCGACGACGGAATTGCGTGGTGCGGAAGGGCACCATCTTGAACTTTTACCTCCTTTTTTCGAGTGCACAAGAAGTCACAGATTGCAATTTATATTGAGCGTACAAAGAGTTTTGTCTCTCCAATCAGTGGTGCCGACATCGGTCAGTAAAAGCTTGATTACCGCCTGCAGGTAATTGTTAACTAAGGCGGGAATTACTGTACAGTTGAGGTCCGATTGCCCTTCAGTCTTCAGGCATTGGAGAGACTTTTTTCTGTTAGCAAGAGCTTATTGAGAGTGCACTGGAATTCAGGTGTATTTTATTAGTTTTGTGTTAGGCATTGAAGTGGCACTGCTGTAGTTGTCCCCGTCACCTGGCAAACTCTACTTTCAGGTTCATAAAAAAAGAATCAGCTGAGGAACGTATTGTAAATAGCCTCTGGTAAAAATTCTAACCGGTCGCCTGCATAAAGTTTAAATACTGTTACTGACATTTTGCAGCATTAATGTAGAACGACCCATCCAAGCAATTAGAAATATAAAATATCTAGAAATACGCATAAAAATATTCCTTTAAAGCATTGTGCTCCGGTGTTCACCCCTTCATCGCCGTAGTTTTTTTTGTTTTTTTTTCCTAGGCGATATTAATATAATATTCAAAGAAAGAAAAAAAAAACACTTGGCGTATTATAGTTGATTATTCAACCAAGCTGACGTCCGACTTTACCTTATACCAGGATCTGGGAAGAATTACGAAAGGCGATGTAATCTTCACTGATGAGTTGCCAAATCGACTTCGTGTTTATCTTGAAAAATAACTTAATTGTTCTCAAATACATTAAACATTAAAGAAAGGAATAGTTCGAAATGAGGCTTCAAATATTTTCTACAGTTAAACTATGTTATCGCTGGGAAATATATAAAGGTTGTTATCTCCAACCGGTATGTCTTCAATGTTAATATCAAAAATTGAAAAAGCTGGCATTAAACTTTTGACGGAATTGCTGCGTTGAATTTTCGTAAAATACAATTTAAAAACAAACAGACGTACGTGTCGAAAATTAGAGACTTAGCCGTAAAAAAAAAAGACGCGATTCCAAGTGTTCAATAACAGCACAACAACGATCTCGTTGCGACGCACCGGAAATGGCTCTTTCCAGGACGCGGACACACCCGAAGGCCGGACGATGACCAGTGGAAGGCCCCGTCCTTGTTCTGCAACGATAGACTCAGCCAGAGTCTTGGTAAAGGTGTAGGTGTTGGGTTTGGCTCCGAGCAGCTCTGGTGTCGCTTTAACGAGATCCACCTCGCTCAGTGTTCTGCTCGTATTGCATCAGCATGCGAAAAGATAAAAGCAATTGACGTTAACATTTTGTTAAGCACTAAGTTTTATAACTTTGTCCACAAAACTGAGGTTACGAAGGCACACTCCACAACAACAATTGACAACCTTAACTTTAGGTTAAACGAGACAAAGGTCTACTTTTTCGAACAGCAAGTTACGGGTCAGTCCTTTTAGCCTTAGCTTCAGAACGCTCCGGTGTATACTAAGGAAGTCTGTGCACTTGGTTTACACTGCGTGTCGCTGTTAACACGAACACGATATCGAATCTTTTTAACGCAGGATGTGTCCATGGGCTCAATTTTATGTGGAAAGGGTGACGCTCGATTTTAACGAAGAGCAGTTGCACGCAGGGCTACGTATCATCAAACGCACATTGCCCATTTCAGGCCAAGCATGATCATGCAAAGCATGTAGAAGCATACTTCGTCGTAATTAATCATATTTAAGCAGAAACAGAGACATTTAGCGAGTGGCGATGTGAAACCGAGCCCCCAACCGTATCCACCTTTTCTTTAAGGGTTCAGCCATCTTGAATGGCGTCACTTCTGGTGTGCGGTAAAACATCGTTGTGATCCCTCCACGCCGCTGGAAGGTGTTTACGAAATATGCGTGATCGTCATACATTCTTTTTTTGCCTCACCTATATTTTTTCGCAAATTCCAGGTTAAAACTTTTTATTATTTTTTTCGTGCCGCATACCAGATACGGAACCCACGTGACTGAGAATGACAGGAAACAACAAAAAACAAAACGACTATACGACCCTCATCTCCACATGTTTGCTCGGTAAACACGAGGGGAAGGCGGGCGGGACCTCAAGCAGCTTCATCAAGTATGACTCAAGAAAACCCGCGATTGTAGACGACTGTCGGTGCGCGGGGCTTACTTACAAATGACGAATCATGGCCTCTCACGTGATCTGACGGCGTCACGAAGCCTGAGTATATTTAAACTTGTACTGATTATTACGTAAACAGAAACAGACACGCAACAGAAACAAGGACAAGAAGTAAACAGGACAGGCGCTAGCGCCTGTCCTGTTTACTTCTGGTCTTTGTTTCTGTTGCGCTATTTTATATGTTTTAATAAATATACTTGGTTCTTGCCAGACTTTTTTTTTATCAGGGTGAGACAAAGACAAGAAGTAAACAGGACAGGCGCTAGCGCCTGTCCTGTTTACTTCTTGTCTTTGTTTCTGTTGCGCTATTTTATATGTTTTAATAAATATACTTGGTTCTTGCCAGACTTTTTTTTTATCAGGGTGAGTAGACGATGATTAGTACTCTAAGTGTCCCTCAGTGTTACTCATGTGTTGTTTAAGATATTCTTAGATACAGTGAAAACTTTCTTCCTGGTCATTTCGTATATGTACCAAATTCATACACCCACAAATCAACATAAAAAGTAGGGCTGCGTAGATAATTTTGTAACACAAATAAAATAATACGGTTAAAACAAAAGTTATATTTTGTATATAATCTATATAAGCCATAAAGTGCAAAAACACCAGCCTAAATCAACTTCTAAAGTTGGAGCTGGGCTAGCCTTATTATGGAACCTCCCATAAGATATATATGCTGCGGTCCGGGTGACAACTTTCGTATACAGGGAAGACACTACGAATAATAACGTAATCCTGTGACACGAGGTGGATACAAATTTGGAACCACAATTTACGAGCATTTGTCTAGAAACAGGCCGTTCTCAAAACACCCTCAAACAACACTGGGGGTCGCCATTGCTTGGGCACAAAGCCGGTGATTGGATACGAGTCTTCGCCGAACGCCGACGAAGCCCTCTGATAGGATAACAGGTCTGAGTATGTGCCCAAACAATGGCGGACTGGGATTACTGGCCCAACACCTGCTATACTTCGTTTCACCGTGACATGGCAAAAAGCAGACGCCATGCCGCCACCACTCCTTTGAGCCAATCTAAGCGAAGGATCCGAAGCACGCACGTGACGCGTGAATCCGATTGCCTGACCCCTAACGGGGCTAGCGAAACAAGAGTGAGAGGAGGACACCCTGTAGACACCCCTGGCAACGGTGCTCATGCCGGATTGGCTGGCTCGTAGAGATAGACGCTGCCACCCTCAACATTGGCAGCAGTTAAAACGAGTTTCCGAAGCGGTAACGTAGCTTAGTGGTAACACATCTGCTTTATACGCAGCGGACCCCGGTTTGATACCCAGTGTGGGCTTACTTTTTTTTTTTTTTAACTTAGACATTTTGTTTTCTTGAGGTATTGTACGTTATTTACGACAATTCCTTTTTACCATTAACACTGAAACGAAAAAAAAAAAAAGAAAACGAACGTTGTCGACGTGATATCGTTCAACTAAAGGTATGAGAGTCCCTTTCCGGAGGTGCATAGGGGACAGCGGGTCTTGGGTTGCTGGCTGGACGCCGCGAAGCGCCGTGTACGGGGGGGCCAAGTGGGTTAATAGTTATGTCATTATCAGCCGCACACTGTCGGCGCGAAGCGCCTTAAACGCAGGCGGGGGGTTGGGTTATAGAGCTCCCAAATGATATACGCGGCGCCCGAATCCGACATCCAAGTTCCCGCGCGTTGGCGAGCAGCAAATCCGGCTTGAGCGACGTGGCTAGGGTGTCTATCGTTGCTAGGTTGTCCCCCTCTCCCTCTTTGTTTTTCGCGCTGCGTTGGGCGTCCAGGCAATCGGAAATAAGCGTACGTGACAGCCTTTACCAAGGGCTGTCACATATGGGAGACAGAGTAACCCAAGATGTAAGAGGAGAGAGAAAAGAGGAACTCCCCTCTGGCCCATACACTCTTCTTCGTGTCCCACACGTTATAGTTTATGTCTACATAAGGGCAGACTTTCTCTCTCTCCCGCCCGTGGCTTTCACAGCACTGCACGGAAATGGAGAGATGCAGTCACGTGTCTCCCTTCGACTCCCTGATTGGCTTCCTGGGACCGCAGCCTTCGCCAGTTTGCCAAGTCACGATGAGGCGGAGTATAGATGACGCGCACTTTTGAAAGGGTTTATTATTGCTGTATACAAGACAAATAGCTTTACTTTGTGAGCGAAATGATGTCATCCGGCTTTACCGTGGATGGGTAAACTCGCTCCTCCAGTGCGTCCAGATCGCAGTGGACGGATGCTGTCGAAACATGCACAACAGCCTAGAAAAATATAGAGTCGGTAATTTGCAAAAGTTGTAGTAATACACTTAAGACTTTCGATGATAATATATGATACATCCGGGTAAACCGCTGGGTGCGACGTAATACCCGAATGTTTCAAACGCCTTGCGCGTGCCACTTGTGAGGGAACGCATTCAGCGTTTCTGAACGTTGCTTCACACACTTGCGTGGGATCGACTGAGAGCCACTGCTACGGCTTGCGACTTTAATCCTTTTTACGGGTTGCTATAGCAAGAGCTGCTTCGGCTACAAAAAAAAGCGGGGTAAAAAACCGGTTTGTTCGCAGCCGACGCCACCGTTTTCATAGCAATCCGTAAAAGGAGTTACATCACTTGTTGCTGCTGTCGCGCTCGGTCTGACTTCATGCAAGTGTGTGAATCGCCCTTGAGTGCTTGGACAAAGCTTCCGAAAGGCTCGAGATGTTGAGGTCTCTGAATAATATAAAACGATTCGATCCTCTTACAAAACGCGCAGGAAGGATGGGCATCAGCGCTACATCGAAAGCGCTGTTGTGGCTTCTTGGCGCATCAATTTGAAATGCAACTATGATATTCGTTATCCTGGAAGCTAAATGGAGGCTAGTTAAGTGTTTTCTCCTCAAATATATAACCACTTTAGTTTATTTTTAATGCAGACATGAGGCTTCTATCCAGATAACCGCCATTGAAGCTTTCACAGTGCAATGTTCGACAGAAATACAAGCTAAACAATCGCGTGGATTGCACAGTTCGTCAAGTACAGCGACGATGCGTTATAATTTTTGGTTGTTTTGTATTAGGACGACTAGTCCTTTTAATGCGACAGCTATAACTGGTCCCATGGAGCGAACTGGCGTTATCTGAGAGTGAAGCCGGCGTTATCGTTGTCTGTAGCGGCGATAAACGGCACCTAAATTCCCCTGAGCGAAACGGGACCTATACTCCAATCGGCTGCGACGCGTCATGTGACTCAATAGCAACGCCGTCACCGTTGCTAAGGAGCGAGCCGAGCTGCTGGCGGCGTAGGGGGGGGGGGGGGGGGGGGGACGCGGGTATGCCCTGGCCTGACGTTATACCTAATGTTAGGCCTAGCGTTACGCTCTGAGGTCTAACGTCGCCAACCGGTACACGCAACTAGGACGACGATGATGAGAGGAGACGTGATTCCAGTACGCGCCTCGCCGAGCTTCGCACTCTCGGCGCCGCGCCGAATTTCGCACTCCTGCCGCTGCCTCACCCAGTGGCGCAGCAGCCACCAGCGAACCACGGATGCGTTCGCATTCACAACTCATAAGTGCTTAGGTGTCCTCGGAATTCGAGCTCTATTCGCCGCTAAGTTGACAGAGCGGTGGAAGCTATATGCTCTTTCGACCAGCCGTACGTCTTTTTTCTGTCACGTGATCGGGCTCCCACCCAGAACCACACGCAGAGAGAGGGGTCAGGCTATGAAAGTGAAGCCGTTGATTGGTCCGGCGAGCGCGTAGCTCCCACCGCTCTTTTTTTGAGCGTAGAGGAAAAATGAGCTTCGAAGAGGGACAATGCTCCGTGCACCAGTGGCCATTGAAAGCGTAATTGTGCTCTGCTGGAACTTCCCAGTTCAATCGCGCAAGTTCTATTTCTAAAGCGCTGCTCTAAGGCGCCCGTTTTCGGGTTGAGCGGCGTCGGCGTCGCAGTTAGCGTAACCGCGCGCGTTGCAATATGGGACGTTTCCCCGCTAAATTTAGCGGGGAAATGTTTCTGCTGAATTTTCGGGAGAAACTTTTCCGCTAAAATTAGCAGAGAAATTTTCCGGCTAACTTTAGCGGGCTAGTTTGCCCCGCTGATTTTAGCGGGGAAATTGATGTCACGTGACCTCAACACCAATCCAATCTCCCCAGGAAGTTGAGCGGGCAAAAGGCCGTCACGACTTAGTGTCACGCCCCCAATTCAGCGGCAAAACGAGAGGAGGAGGAAAAGAGAAGGAGGAGGAAAGGGGAGGAGGAGGGCAGGAGGAGGAAGATCGGAGGAGAAGGGGGCATACCCTCCCCTCATCCTCATGAAGAGCTGCGCTCTAGTTTTGCATTACAGAGATTTGTAAAAGTCTGTCATTTCTTAAGTCTAAAATCATATATTGATCGCAATGCCTGCATAAAGGACGCACTAGTAGCGCGTTTATCGCTAGTGTTTGATGTTGCTCTTGCGCCAACATTGACGTATTGCATTATGTCTTGCCGTAAGGTCACAACACTCAACCTTTCGTTTTTTCGGTGTATTATTGCCCCATCACCTGAGATTCGTGACAAGGGTATAACTTCATTCAACATTTGTTTGTCAAGTTTTACGCCGAGAATGTAGAATCGTTATCTACGCACATCATATGGGGCGTAAATGCAAATCGTACATACCAATGTTTAAAAACTCTGCTGAAATAAAACACTTTTCATTTTGAGCACATTTGTTGTGTGTGTCAGTGATTTTTCTTATAATATTAATGATGCAATCACTAAACTAAAAGTATTGACAGAATACTCGAAAATATGGCACAAAACATACGCAGATAAATATCTCAAAGGGCACATGAAACGACATCGGGCTGGAATGTTCATGAGTTCGCAGAGGCATACTGGTCCTAATCAGGCCCAAGTGTAGTCGCACAAATCGCCACTGATTCAGAAGCGTCTTGGTCGTGGATAAATTGCTAAAATAAAGGGGAACTATTTCTTTCATTCTTGCCTTCGCAAAGCTTGATGACGTAATTATGAGATCACCCGCCTCTGGGGCTCATGAATTGGACATAAGAACTGCGTGAGCACTCGACTTCGGCTCGTAACAATCAATCAATGCCTCGGTGGACACCCGGGGAGTGGCTTGTGTCCAACCACTGCGGTGATGAGAATAGCCAAACTCTAAGAATACCTGGAAATCAGCGCGCGCGTTTTCTACTTTGCCAACCCCAGCGCGTGAGTACGATGAACATTGGCGGCGTAGGATACGCACTAGGCCACGCGACCACTTGTTCTGGCTCCAAATCGAGGGAATAAGCGATTCTCATATTTAGCGATTTTTCGCTTATAACAAACACTACCTAAAAACAAAACAAAGAAAAAAAAAAGCTAAGCCAAGTTTATTTAGTTAAAACGTTAACTAGGGAGTGTTCTTAGTAGTACTCAGCGCAATTTGAAAAATCGTTTTATGACTCCTTCAATTGCATTGCCTTGCTTCATAGCTCAACATGATCAGGCCAGCTCCACACACAGATGCACATTATTCACGCCAATACTATGTACCTAAACACGATTTAAACTGCACTTACCTTAATCTTCTTGATATTATGGCAAAGATCCAGCACATTTTTGGTGCCTTCCATGTTAATTTTCACAGCGTTTCTGAAACCAACAGACTTAGCTGGATAATCAACACGGAGAGGGGGATGGGTGGCCGAGTAGGTTAGCGTACACCAGCTCGGAGCACGTGGAGCGAAAGCTCGCGCTGCAGAAAAAGGGGATCCTGGGCTCAATCCCAATCCCCTGCCCGTTTCGATCTGGATGAGCATCGTACCGGCGTGCGGTCATGTATCACTATACTGTGTGGTGCACGTTAAAGACCCCAAGCTAGCGGTTCTACTGCAGTGGTTAAATTTCTCATCTACAGCTGGGAGTCTCGTCACCCGTTGAGGCAGACCAACTTCTAGACTGTATAAACATAGACACAACCCAATTTGTTTTTCAACACGAACATTCTCAACAAGGCATGATGAACCAAAAAGGTTTATGACCTCGCGTGCTTGTTAGAATGTCTGCCAAGAGAACCCCTTCAATTTTCTATCGGGGCTCGCGCATGCACAAAACTGAGTCCATCACACAGTAGCTGAACGCTTCTCGGTGTAAAACTCCTGGACGCTAATAAATGCTGGCCATAAGCTTGGAGTGTGACTGTGTTTTTCTAAAATTGTTCAATTGCTACCATGAATTTTATATTCCCAATAATTAAAAACGGTGAGAAAGCGGCCTCCGCTGGCCGTGAGATCACAGTAAGTAATAAATAAATGTATAGTTTTAGGACACATCTGTTTCTGTTTAAGACTAATTAAAATAGATTCGCTCATTTTTTTATTAGGAGCAACCTAAGCTTTTATCAAATACTCTGCTAGGGGCTACATCTTACTCCTCTAAAATACAATGACCTTGAAACCGACAGTTTTTGCGTAGTTGGAACCGCTGGACGCGAGCAGCCTCAAGGTTTTCCCCTTTGATTTTGGAACGATTACTGCCACAATCTATCGTCGTTGGCAGCCTTTGAGACGGACGATACAGCAGTCTCTGCTGCCTTGGCGAATTCGGTATGTCGGTGCGTTGGCGGGATTATGAGTTGAGTGTACAAGGAATCTGTATATTTCACGGGTTAGAGATCCAATAGTGGACATTCAGTCATGTCGGATATTCAGGCACGTTGGAAATTCCGTCTCGATTTGATCATCCCTAGCGTTGGTCATTTAGGCTCGTCGGACATTCCGTCTCGATTTGAACATCCTTTTTTTTTGTAAACTCAGGTTCGTTAGACGTTACATCTCGGTTTGATAATCCGTCTCGTTGAACATTTTGTCTTGCGTGACTCATCTAATAAAAACGCAGAAAAGGTGCCATGAAGTCAACGGGGACAGGTAGGTGCATCACGTTTCGGGAATGAGATTGGTAGTAAATAAAATGCAAAAACAAAAGACCGATTGGGCTTTTAAAGGGCTCTCGTCATTTAATTCGCACTTGATCCATTTCAAGGCAGTAAGGATAAATATAAAAAATAGGCATTGCTGAGAACAAACAAGTATGCACACGCCGGAAACTTTAGTTTACTATAGTTCCATGTTCTGCATAAAAACGACTCATTTCATCATATGTTAAGCATATGAACCTTGGAAATTTCAAGTTGCTCGGCAAAGCCTCTAGTGCGAACACGTGCAAGGCACACCATCATTGGTGTACACCTCAGTCCGAATGAAATTGAGGACGTTTAGGCTGTAATTGGCGTCAATTTTTGTGCGCGAGGTTTCTGAAGAATAGTTTTTTTATGGTCCCCGAGTTTTTTTAAAATTGTCTGAACACACCGAACAAACACAACGTAACTAGCAACCCAAATATTAAGCGAAATATTATTTCTTGCGAAATTAAATAACGTTTAATTTTAGTCCCCGGTTTTTTAAATGGAAGTCTAGTGACAACAATAAAATGTGACGTGGGCGGCAGGCAAGGGTTCCCATACCAGGAGGTAGAATTTGTTCCCGACCAAATAGACGACATTTGACGGTGTCAAATAAAGACTTCGGAAGCTCGACCTAGCAGTCGCGAAGCAGCACGAACCAAATGCGCTCCATATTGTGTTTTATAGGATGCGTGTTTCACCCGCAAGCTTGTCTATCAGTGGCGTCGCGGTACTGAAAAGAGCAGGAATATTTGCATGTTGGTTTTGACATCGCCCTCATTGGTTTATTTTATAATCGCTATAGTGAATTTAGAGATGCTAAATCGCATGCCAGAAAGGTGAATGCAACTAGCCAGCAAATACAGTTAGTTTGGGTAAATCAGAAAGGGAGGGAAGGGAGGGAATTAAAGTGTCTAGACCTTTAAGGCAATACACTTAAATGCAATTTGCATAAAAACGCCTCAGGGCGAGTTTATTGCCGCGGTTCTGCGTTTCGCACCAGCGCTTTATTGCTGGCAGCTCTAGGGAGTGTGCAATGACTGGTCCATGATTTAGTACGTCTGTGCTGATTTTTTTTTTATGGAGCAGAAAGATCTATGCATGGACAAGTTTCTGGGGCGATAAAGTCAAGGGAATGGCTACGCGCGATTGCGATTTATTTACGCCCTTACGAGATATGAAACAATACGTGGCCGAAGACGAGGGTAAGCGAGAAATGTGTGCAGAGTGTGTCAGACGCTGTAATTGGGAACTCAGGTTGCTGACCTCCAAAAGCGTTTTTCCTAGTCACTGCCAGTCTAAGAAACGAAGGGTGTGGCTTATTCTGTTCACGCTTCTTGCTCCGTGATTGGCTCATTGGCATTCTTATCTGCTGACTGAGCAATCTGATTGGCTGATGAGCAATGACGAGATTCTGGGGCCTCGTCACACCCTGCGCGTTTGAGTTGTCGTTGACTGTAATGGGAGGCACTGACCAAGGTACGAACCTTAAGGGTTCGTTGAACCGGACAGTTGCCGCAGAGTGAAATACCATGGACACGTCTGAAGCCAAGCGCTCGTAGTCACCGGATTTCAAGCCCAGTTTCTCTTCTCTGATGTCGCCATCGACGACCACTAGCTTGTTTAAGCTAGATGGGCATTCTTGGCGCAACCGCTGGAAGCACTGGACGAGGGAGCAACGCATAAAGTATTGATTCGTGTTACGTCACAACTTTTTTTTTAAGAACATTTTATTGTACAGGGCGCAAACCGCTTAAACGACAAACACTAAGTGAAGAAAGAAAAAAAGACAGGACGACGCTGTATTCTTAACTAAGCATTTTATAAGTGAACGGTATAAAAAGAAGAGAACATAGCCAAAAAAAAAATATCAACAAGCACCTAATTATCTACAAAACACAACATTATTAATGTGGTGTATGGTGGATGACCAGGTGTTTGTTGATGTAATCGTTTTTGGTTACATTGTTTTCTTTCTATTTTTGTGACTAGTAAAATTTTACTTGGGAATACAGCTTCACTTTGCATTCGTCCTTTGAGCTGTTTACATTATGTATAACGTTTACGTTCCTGCCCAATTTGCTACATTAAAACATTCAATAGGTCCTCTGCGCATCAATGCTAGCGACATTATATACTCGGGAAGGTCTTGCTCTCAGCGATCCAAACAATACGTGTTACATCTAGGTACCGCCATTGATAACTTTTATTTTCTTAATTCTACGTATTATTTTGGTTTTTATTTGTATATAAAAACAATATTGATTTTGCCTCATTTCAAAGTTTGTGTTGTTTTTTTTTCGCCGATGTCTGCAGTATTCCCTCAATCTCAACACCGTATATTGTCTCTTTCCTCTGCTTGTCTACTTGTGAGCAATGGGTGCATATTATCAAGTGGCTGTGCAGTTTATTGAAAGTCTGCAAATGCCGTATAGAAGGATGACAACCTGTATACCATTTGAGAGGGCCTAAAATGCAACGAGGTGAAATCCACAGAGAGCATTTTTGTTTCTCACGGTAATGTGCACAAGAGGAATGCATAGAATTTTAAATGTACCATATTTGAGGGTATGTCAACATATGGTATACGAGCAAATTTTACATGTCTCGCAACTTTGCAGCAAATAAAATGTCTATTTATTGATATTCAATAACCCACTAACTCCGTAGTTTACACCATTCTATGAAATTTACCTCCCATATTCACATATATATAGGCCGGCCACTTTTAGGTATTAACAAAAATGAACACAAACATACACTTGTTGGTGTCAAACATATAAATTGGGTAAAACCGAAAAAAATACACCCAGATGTTTAAAATATTAGGTTCAGTTAGGACTATTCTTGTCGAAGCTCTGTTCTTTTAGACTAGAACTAATAGTTTTTCATAAAAAAACTTTTCACCTTTAATTACCATTTTTGGCGTCCGTAGAAGACAGATCAGTGAAATGCACAAAATTTTGAAAAAAATGATCACCGTAAAACATCCGAAATTTTGTTTTATAAACAGCGGAAAATCTGCGACCTATATACAACGCCGATATGTCTTGAAAGACAAACTGCTGCGAACGTAATGTGGAAATCTATGGGACCCTACGAGCTTTTAGATATTAAAGATATTTATGAAATTAAAATGAATATAAGATTCACACTATTTGCAGTGCCGTATTTTGCTCCTTCTTGCTTGAAAAGGATGGTGGAAATAAATTAGTCAGATTTCTTACCGCTGGTCTTAAGAAAAGTTCGAACCTTCTTCGTGGACTCAAATCCCTTTTTGGGCGGATCAACAGGTAAATCCGCTCGATTCCTGGGCATGAACGCAGCAGTTTTTCAACAAGAACCTGGAAGGAACCATTCAGAGAAAATTACCATGCAGAATAGAGCTTGTTTTGATACTTTACATGCTACAGTGAATGCAAGTTAATCTGAAAGAAACTGCGTAAATCTCGCCAGCATAAAGTTTATATATATTTTTTTACGGGGTAAAGGTGTTCTTGGCGGCTAGCCAGACACAAGGAATGAACAGTAACGACATATTATCACTGCGTTTATATTCATTTCCAATATATTAACGACCGTTTCGTTATAATTGGAGAATAAGGAATTAAAGGGATCCCCTGTTTTTTACACTTATTTCATTCTTTAAGATTTTCTATCCATTAGACTTTCATATACACAATGGACTGTCTATATTAATACTTATATTTCTCCATACATTACCTAAGTAAAGCAGAATATTAGAAGGTACAGAAAGACATTTTACCACAAAACCTTGGCAGGCATCTTAAAAACTTTTACCACTAAAGATCTCTGAGAAAAATGTTTCTATTAACAAGACTCCCGACTGTAATAATCAATATTCCCACGATTGCATCAAACGTATTTCCCACACGCCTCGAGTAACCCCTTAAGCATGTTTTGACACCGAACTCACTCCAAAATGTGTCTTGTAGCTTATACTTTGGTTTCTAACAACATATAAAATTCTTCCAGAATATTGATTGTTTTGGAAGTAAGATATAATATTTTAATTGGTAAGGTGTAAATAACGTTTCATTCAACCATACATTCATTCGAATATTGAGTCTCCAAAACGACATGAGTAAATAACCTAGTTTTAAGCAGTCGCCGAAGAGTCTTCAATTCATAAGCAAACATTTTATGACTGGAAACAAACTAGTCTGCACTAGGCAGAAACACCACATAAAAATTGTTCTTACAAGTACACCTTCCAGACTATTCCGATATTGCGCTTGAGCAGATATCTTTTATTTTGTTTCAAGTATATGTGTGATTTACAAGAGTATAAGTACGCACCTTTCCAAGGAAACCAGTCGCACCTGTGATAAAGATGACTTCATCTTGATAGAAGCGCTGCACCTCTGAATGCTTCACAATTTGTGGCACTGAAACAATACGAAGGAACACAAAGCTTTCATATCTTACGGGTTCTATTGGCTGCTGGATAAACTCGAAAATTTAGAGGTAAATCGTGTGATTTAAAAAATAGTAATAAAGCTAACCAAATCATTTCAGACACGAGCCATTCTCTTTTACCCTTCAAAACGAATCTATTTGGCATTGCTCGCCCGCGTTGACATAGCTGTTGTAACGCAAAGACGAAAAAGAGGTAAGAAAGCATGGGACGGGCAGTCAACATATGGATATTAAGAAAAGGTCACAGAGACCCACTCGTCTAGGATTATGCTTATAATGCAATTCAATGCAATGGTGCAAGCGAGCTGGACTCCGTATTTTCATGTTCTTTGCCTCCGTATTCTTATATTCCTCAATAGTTGGTACCGAAGCCTGTGACACTCTCCACCCTTTAATTTCCCTCTTGTTCAAAGTTGAAGCTTGGTTCTCCTGCCAATGAAATTAATCTTAAAACAAATCACGGTCTTGACGTATACCAATTTGTGAAATGAATATCTCAATCTCGCCAGTCATTGCGATCGGGTAGCATCTGAATTGCATGAGGACCTGTAGAAGATCAGAGTTCAAACTAAGTGTTGTTTACAAGCACTCATTCAAAGACGTGCACCAAATGACAAGGGAAGATGCATCAAGCAAAACCTTCCATGTGGCTCTGTCGTCTTCGTTCTACAGATGTGTTCTTTTATGCAATGTTTACCGGCACCAGCACGCTCTTCTCACATTAAAACAATCCTTAACTTCGTCGCTGGGTCTTCACGCTGCACTTCCTTGTGAGGCATGCAGTACACGGCATTTACGTCGATACACTGATATCTGCTTGCCTAGCCAGCGGGTACACCCGGCGGCAATGTGAAGGTGAACACCTTACCTGGTTTCTAGCCTGTTTTACGGCTCCCTAACACTATATTAACTCTCAACATCTCAAATGGTACGTGGCTTGCGGTCTAAACTTTGCATTCTAGCCATCTTCTGGAACAGAGCTTGTTCCAAAACTTGCAGGAGCGTCAAAAACAAGAAGAGGGCTGTTCACCTTTATATCGCTCACGGGTGCACTGTCTGATTACATCATCATATCGCTTGGGCAATTGTTTTTTTCGTGAAATTCTCAAAAGAAAAATGAATGATTGAGGAAAGCACATATGGTGAAATTGCGTTCAAGCATCGGGCGAATACACTAGAACTTACTTTCCGTATATTAAAATATTAGTTCAAATTTGGTGTGGATGTGTCACAGAGTTGGAAGCAGGAAAATTTAAACCGATATCAGGACTAGCATTCAAATAAAAGCAGACTGGCAGAATTGCAAATGTATCAATGAAGAACAATCTTACCCCCCCCCCCCCCCCCCCCAAATAAAAAAAAAAATAAAAAAAAGCAGAAAGCCGCTTTGAGTACTGGTAATAGAGTCTAAATCTTTTGGGGAAGTATATTCTTCAACGGTGAGTGGAGAACGTAGTTATACATTTATTTTTTAGGCCACATGATTCACAAAACGAACTATGTCAAAACTGCAAGTAAAAATTACCGGATCTCCACGGGGTGAATCATGTTGATTGGGGCGAAGCTCGGGTGGTGCTGATGATACTGATTCTGGTCATAGGTAGTGCTGATGGTGCCGTTTTCATTAATGTCAGTAGGAGAATGTGTGGTTTTCTTCTTTTTCTTTTTTTTTTAAGAAGACAAATGGGACGGCAACTCAGAACCCCCTACTATTTTTTTTCTTCTTTTTCCTGATACTGATTTTGGTCATAGGTAGTGCTGATGGTGCCGTTTTCATTCATGTCAGTAGAAGAATGTGTCATATTCTTCTTTTTATTTTTGTAAGAAGACAGACGGGATGGCAACTCAGAACCCCCTACTCTTTTTTTTTTCTTTTTCTTGATACTGATTTTGATCATAGGTAGTGCTGATGGTGAAATTTTGATTCATGTCAGTAAAAGAATGTGTGGTTTTCTTCTTTTTCTTTTTTTAAGAAGACAGATGGGATGGCATCTCAGAGCCCCCTACTTTTTTTTTCTTCTTTTTCTTTTTTTATTTGTTCTTTCATCTTTTTTTCATTTTTTTTCTTGCTCTCGCTGCTGAGCTCACGAGCAGGAGCACGCCGGACGACGGACGGACATACGGACATGGCTAGCCCCTAAGGAGATCCCTTAGGGGCTAGCCATGCACGTATGTCCGTATGTCGCTGCTGAACTCACGAGCAGGAGCACGCCGGACGACGGACGGCCTTAGGGGCTAGCCATGTCCGTATGTCCGTATCTCGCTGCTGAACTCACGAGCAGGAGCACGCCGGACGACGGACGGACATGGCTAGCCCCTAAGGAGCCCCCTTAGGGGCTAGCCATGTCCGTATGTCGGTATGTCGCTGCTGAACTCACGAGCAGGAGCACGCCGGACGACGGACGGACATACGGACATGGCTAGCCCCTAAGGAGCCCCCTTAGGGGCTAGCCATGTCCGTATGTCCGTATGTCGCTGCTGAACTCACGAGCAGGAGCACGCCGGACGACGGACGGACATACGGACATGGCTAGCCCCTAAGGAGCCCCCTTAGGGGCTAGCCATGTCCGTATGTCCGTATCTCGCTGCTGAACTCACGAGCAGGAGCACGCCGGATGACGGACGGACATACGGACATGGCTAGCCCCTAAGGAGCCCCCTTAGGGGCTAGCCATGTCCGTATGTCCGTATGTCGCTGCTGAACTCACGAGCAGGAGCACGCCGGACGACGGACGGACATACGGACATGGCTAGCCCCTAAGGAGACCCCTTAGGGGCTAGCCATGTCCGTATGTCCGTATGTCGCTGCTGAACTCACGAGCAGGAGCACGCCGGACGACGGACGGACATACGGACATGGCTAGCCCCTAAGGAGCCCCCTTAGGGGCTAGCCATGTCCGTATGTCCGTATGTCGCTGCTGAACTCACGAGCAGGAGCACGCCGGACGACGGACGGACATACGGACATGGCTAGCCCCTAAGGAGCCCCCTTAGGGGCTAGCCATGTCCGTATGTCCGTATGTCGCTGCTGAACTCACGAGCAGGAGCACGCCGGACGACGGACGGACATACGGACATGGCTAGCCCCTAAGGAGCCCCCTTAGGGGCTAGCCATGTCCGTATGTCCGTATGTCGCTGCTGAACTCACGAGCAGGAGCACGCCGGACGACGGACGGACATACGGACATGGCTAGCCCCTAAGGAGCCTCCTTAGGGGCTAGCCATGTCCGTATGTCCGTCCGTCGTCCGGCGTGCCCCTGCTCGTGAGTTCAGCAGCGAGAGCAAGAAAAAAAGGGGAAAAAAGATGAAAGAACAAATAAAAAAAGAAAAAGATAGCTAAAAAAACACTACACAACAATAGCGTGCAATATTTTAATAAGCAGAAAAATACTCACGGCAGCAATGAGCCTTAGAAGAGCGTCCATGACCCATGCTCAAGCGGTATGCCAATGTACGGCGTTCGTCGCAAAAAAACCTCAGTCCGATTTTAGTTGTCCGTTCTGTGAACGTTGCCAAGTACCCCCCTGGCATGTTGCGGCTACTTTAATTTCACGGGCTTCCAGATCTATCAAGCTCCAGAAATGACTGAAAAAAATTACAGCCAATATTTCGGTTGTAACCTAGCCAAACGAGAGCTGCCAAGTCAGCCGCTCCTTTTTGAGGTCTATATAGGGTCTACTCCGTACACCCTCAGGAGCACGAATACAAAGTGCGAAGGCGCAGCGAAATACATCGATGATGACTTAGTCAATCATCACGTGCGATTGTTCATCTTCTATCTTAATCGTAGGAAGAACACTCTTACCTACTGGTGTCCAGTACAGCGCGATATTTTCGACGGTTTCTTGAAAAGTAGTTTGGTCGTCGGTGACAAAATGCGGGATGAGCAAAACGGAACTATGACGCACTGCGCGGACAACGAATTTGTTATCTTAGCTTTCCTGCAGCTGTACGGCCATCTGCCTCGTCTGCGTTGAGCCCCGGGAAAAAGCTAACGAGCTGAACCTACGCATGAGGACCAAATTATGGGTGATTACGAAGCCAACGCAAAAAACGCCTCGTCTATGCTGCGTGCTGCGGTCACCGCTAACATCGGTGTTCTCGCTGGACTAAAGCTCTGTCGATAACTTCCCGCAAATGGCCGCCATGCCCGCGAGACTCGCAAGGCAAACTGCCCAATGTTGCGTGCGCACGCAGTACGGGAACAATTCCTGTTGTGTTCCGAGAACGAGCACTCCCGACCTTAATTTCCTTCCTTAGGCAAAGTGCTTGCGTGCGGTTCACAGGAACTGTTACATGCAAGAACTGTTACCGAAAAAGGACGGCATTTGTGATTCAACACCTCCTCAAGTATAAAACCTGAATTCTTTTTTCCGATTATAAAAAGCCTAATAGACCGATGTCACCAAACGAACTGCGCAGGCGCGCGCATTCCGGAAGTCGCGCCGCCGCCATGCTACTTGTAGTCATTCCTTCCCGGCTTCCCGGCTACATACGGCTGCGCGTACGTACATCATCATAGATTACCATTTTGCACGCCCCGGTATCACCTTGATTCTCTTCCATGTTTTTACTTCCTAAGATTGTGTTGTTTGCGACGCCTCACTTTCCTCAGCAAGTGCAGAAAAGCAGTTTCGGTCGTCTTATCGCTTTAGAATCGCTTTGTCGTCTGCTTCATCGTCGTCTGCTTCTTCGTCTTCGTGAACGCGTGAGCCCCCTGCCGTTCACAGAGTAATCCCACTGCGGCCGCGGAAAAAAAAAAAAAAAAAAAAAAAACAACGACGCCACTACTCGAACATTCCGACTCCTCAGACGCCTCAATTACCTTGCAAACAAGTGAACATCTAGTGCAATAGCAAAGAACAAGAAAATTCGAGGGACCATCGGCTCGGTCTTGCACCACGGAACTGCATTAAATGTGATGAAAAACTGAGCTTGGTTGTGCTCAGTCTTGTGCATAGCGTTTAATCAGCTATCAAGTAAGAGGAGCTAAATAGACTTTCTCGGTCAGCGATAGCTTTCTAAAAGTTGTTTCATTCTGGTTGACAGTCTGTGCGACAGAGTACAGATGAACAGCGGGAGAATCCTGCACACAAAGAACTGATCTACAGAAAGGCCATGCCTGACGCGCCGTAATAATTGGCA